ACATCCTCCAGCTGGTTTTTAATCGCCGGCAACAGACTATGATGGGGAGGGACGGGTTTACCGTTTTTAACAGAGCTGAAACGTACTAGTCCCGGCTCCAGCACCGCGCCGCGACGGGGGCAAGAAGAGTAGGGTGCGCAGGGGAGGGGGAAGCTGCCGGGAGGGGCGGGAAGGAGGGGCGCGAGGCGGCCCCGCTGCCAAGTGGCCCACGGCATTCCGCCTCGCCTCGCCTCGCCTTCCCCACCCCCGCACGAACAAGAACTGAATGCCTGCGCCTCCCCAGGCGCCTCCGGCAGCGCGGTCTTCCTCCAGCTCTGCGAGCACATGGTGCTTCTGGGAGACGCGCTGCTAAGCGGGCCGCGGACCAGTGGCAGCAAGGCGCATGCGTCAAATGGCTACACAGACGCTGAATGAAAGCGAGGGACAAACGAGAAAATACATCTTACATTTCAACCTTCACCGATCAGTAAATCGGTACAACTAGAATCAATGTAACGGGTGTCCCTAGACAAAATTCAAGTAATTCCTCTTCCTTCACACATGTATGGCCCAGAAACGTGATTCGGTTTAGGAGGCCTAAACACTTGATTCGGTGCCCAATAGGTGTGTGATTTGCTTTTTCTTTCTTTTTTTAAGATTCGAATACGTACGCATTTACAAAACAATTACAAAACAATTACAAACACACACAAACGACACACAATCATCTTCCATGGAAAAACCACCGCCTTGAAGTTTCTTATACCTTCCTATAAACAAACGATTTTCCCGTACTGTTCATGCATCTTCACACTAGTGTCGAGCTAGAAAAAATATTCATGTTCTAGTCAGGAAGATGGGACGCATTAACGAAATCATTATTCTACAGAACTAATTTACTTCTCTTAATGTTCCACGATGAAAGAAGAAAAAAACTTTTCAAGAAGAATTGTTCAAATTCCATTTCAACAGCTAAGCACGCAAAATTGTCAATCATTGGTATTTGCATACCACATGAAAATTACGAAGTACATAAGACAGGCAATGCACTAAACGCGTGTAAGGAGACTGACGTAATTCGTTTTTCCTGCATCGTTGAATTATCTCCCTCAAATAATCCTATCGCTGTAGTGTTGTGTAAAATTATAAAAAATATTAAGTTTCGAGAACACCAAAAACATTCAAAATTTTACAGTCTAAAATGCCACCAGTATATTTCAGAAACGAGGTAAATAAACTCTCCACATCCTACTGTTCCAAACAGTAATGATTCCTTCCTGATACGAAATATCCAGGCAAGTGTTCCGGTTTGTGGAGCGTTTCACCATCTACGCCTCATAAACAAGACTCCTAAGTACAAGCGTTCTGGACGAGAGGTGATTCATCGAGTCTAAAAATAAGAGGCGTTCTGTTCGCGACGTATGACACGAGATACGTCTACCGTCCTGAGCTCCCGGCAACGATTACGCCCTCCAGGATGGCTACAGGTTGTGAGAATAAAGATCTCTACTCCTTGCCAAACCGAGGCGACCGGGCAAAGTACATGATTTAGTAACCCACCACCCATGCGATGATTGTCCTGCTGCGTAATTATGTACAGCTAGCTCACATGATTGAAAGGTAATAAGGTCACAAAAGCAACCATTCAAGCTAATTAACTATCATTCAATACTTACCTAATGGCAATGACAATGGTGGAGACACAGCTATAGGACTTTCAAGTTTGGTTCTAGTGGCTACTGTCTTTGATGGAATTTGAAGCTTCTCTTCACTGTTGCCTTCTTTTGTAGGAGCAATGGATCCTAAAAATAAGAAAGAAAACGGATAGATCATTGTCCCTTAATGTTTATTATTCATTTGATGCATGCCATAAAACATGTTTTAGCAGGCATCTTGTTATGCAGTTCCTAAAATAGAATTAATATTTGATTTAGAAATAAACACCAAAAACTACCATTCACAAAAATCCACACTCACCGAGTGCAACCTTTTCTCCATCAATCACAAGTGATTCATCTTGATTAGACTCAGGCTCATCGGTAGAGAGAATATCAAGTGCAGGTTTGATGTTATACTGTTCCAATTTATCAGCCATTCTAATTGGTGATGAGTCTTGGGATGCAGCTAAATTAAATTCCTCATCTTCTTCATGATCACTTTTATATTTTGGCATTGAAATATCTTCATTTATTACGTTTTCTGTTTTTTTAATGTCTGGTACTGCTTCATGAATTACATCCCTAAAAGTATCTTCCATAACTGCAAAATCTAACCAACAATTTCAATATTAGAAACAACCTTATATTTAATAGATTAATAATGAACATTTAAATCGCAAATAAAATAAACATGTCAAAATATATATTCCATATTCTGCACATTTACAAAAAAAACAACAAAAAAATGAATTTGCAACATTATAACATTAAAACTATTTTATTAGCGCAGAAACTGTTACAATATAACAATATATTTGGTAAATATATTTTCTCAACATTAAATGACTCACCTGTATCAGATGGATGATTTATTTCTTCTGGAAGGGTTGCAGTCTTATCAGCTGTTCTAATTATTTCGGGCATCGTGTCTTTAAAGCTATCTTCATCATCTTTAAGAAAGGCAGTACTGTGTTTACCTTGAATGTCCGGTATTTTTTCACCAACATCTACTGCAGACGGTGTCGAATCAAAACTTAGTAGATCGACGTTTGACGACCCCTCCTTCAGCACGTCTGTCACTCCTCCCAACTTTTCAGAAGCTAGAAACGATTGCAAAACGGATTCAGAATCGGTTTTGGGTTCGAACTTCGAAAACATATCTAATTCAGGAATGTGCGACGTTGCTGTTTCTGCAGGTATCTCTTCTGCCTGAGACTTTCGATCTTCCAAAGTTGTTGTCAGCTCTTGAAGCTTTCTGGCGGTGTCTTCCATGGTGAAGACAGAACTATTGTCTGTTACAGGTGAATCTAATTTGGAATCACTCAATAATGAAAAGTCAGAAGAATTCCGACTCTCCCCTGGCACTTTAACGAGAGGCGAAGAAGAATCTTTTTCGGATTTCAGATTATCTGACTTCGTCTCTTTGGATGCTAATTTATCATTAGAATTTTCTTTTACGGGTGACGTTGATTCTGCTTCCAAATGCTCGAAATCATCCATCGACTCGTTTTCTCTACGCAATCCTGTAGCAGCAGGTTGTTGAGACAAGTTTTCCATGTTCAAGTATTACCACGAACTCTATTTTATTATCACAAACTGTGTAATTGCACGATTATTATTCCAGCAGCCGGTGTTCCCGAACTACTCGTGTACAGACCCCACTCACGTCACCACCACGCCAGTTTCGTTGCGGTTGTCCAGCAGTTGTCTAATGTCAAGAAGCGAGGCGGGTATGCTATATATACGTAGATTTGCGACTCCCACCATCACTCAATAGTTCTCCCTTACTGCCACTTGGAGCTCTTCATGCACGATGTGCTTCTCAGGAGTCATGGAAAATAAATATGTTTCATCCATGACCAAAGATGTTTCTAATTTTGATGGCATAACCATGCAGTGTTGGCTCCTAACCTTAAACTTCAAAGGTGGTCTCCACAAATATTTCCGTATAGTATGCGAATAGATTCAGCGGTATCGATTTTTCCACCAGTTGTAATGTTCCCTATCGTGAGTACTCACTTGCACTAATATTTGCATTTATCCAACTGGTTCCTCAATCCAAATGTATTTTAAATAGTCACCGAGTGCGGGTCTAGACAGACTCCAAAATATAATCAATTTTTTATCTATTTGTTAGTTCTCTAAATGTTTCAGGCACCTGTGAAATTTCTGTAATTTATTCCTGCTACGGCTACAGATAATTCTGGAACCAAATCCCAACAATTATGTATGAAATTTAAAACCATTTTCAATCTCAACACATTGATAAAACAAAATCAAATGATGAAAGGAAATGGAATGGAGACTGGATTTTGAAGGTTTCATAAATAACAAGTCTAGAATAGGTTAATGACTTTATTGGTTTCAATACAACTTCCACAAATATTTAAGACTTGCAAGTGGTAACTGTTGAATTGCCTGTTGCACTGACTATTTTCCTGACTTCGGTAGCCTAGCTTTATGATGTGAAATTATCTCATACAGCTAGACCACCAAAGAGAGGACCATAGCACAGTAAACTTGCCCGCCGAAAATTCTGAAAATCTTATCTATCAACTTTAACAATATAGCAATAATGTGATTTTCTATATCATATTTAATGCTTTTAATGAGCAATAGGAACACGAACATCACTGATGACAACAGATGGGAGTGCCCATGTACGTGCTTTGGTAAACTAGCTTTATGAAAAATAATAATCATACAGCTACGTCACCAAAGCACGCCACACAGGCTTCTTCATATTACCACCAAGTCCAGAAGTGCCGCAAGTGCTGATAAACAGAGCAACCTAAAAATATTACAAAATTGTAATAAATTTTTTTAATTTGCACATGCAATGCTACATTACAAAATTCTTCAGATAAGATGCCCTAAGAACAAATAGGTTTCTCAGATGTTTCAAGTTCATTCACCACTTCACTTCATCATACTAATAATTTTTCAATACAATTTTAACAGCATGAAATTAACAAGTTACCATTAATATCTTCAGCCTGTTGAAAATATACATGTTTAATCTAAACTTTAAGCTTCTAGAAATGTAACTGAATTCACTGGAATAATTCTATACATTCCTAATGTGCACATTAACAAAACTATGTAGCTCCTAGCCACGTAAGGTGTCAATGTTCAGGTTTCACATGTTCAGAACACATTTTTCTACTCCAGAACTTGATAACAGAATTTTTCTACAGTCCACTAGCTTTTACTAAACATGCATCACAACAGAAATCTACTGAAAGCACTTTCACAAAAACCTTTATAATATAATTTACCAAACCAGAAATAAGAGACTGTGTGTGTGTGTGTGTATATATATATACACACACACACACACACACACACACAAAATCGATAATTCCTCTTCTTTATTCAGTGCAAAGAAACCTTCCGTATTTAGGTATGTAGTTATCTTCAAGATCGCCATCTTTCATTAAATTTCAGTTCTCCATATAATTTTTCTCTCTCTCAACATGTAAACTTAATTGGGTATTAATATATTTGAGCTTTCGCAGTAACATCCAGTGACTTCTACCAATTGTCATGAAAGGTAGAAGTTTATCAGAGCATTCTCTTTCAAATTGACAATTTCACTAACTTCTATAATTTAGAAACAAACTATTAGTTTTGTACAAACCAGTATTCACAGCTAGTAATATTAACACTGAACAGGCAATAAAATAAAACTCTCAGAAGCTATGTGCACCAGAAAATTCCACATTTTTTAATACTGTAAGTTACATTAATGATTAATAAGCCATCAAACGCAATAATCTCAGAACCAGCTTAAATGACCCTTTGAAACACTAACATGTCTACACTCTTAATTTTCTTTGTTCTTCTTCCTTTTATTTAAAATTACAGAAGGAAACAAGTTCCATTTACACTAAGTTTCACAGAGCACCCATAAATAAGGTTGAAGAAAACACTTCAATAATACACCAATTGAAGCATATACAACAATAACATAATACACCAATTGTAATTGTAGCAACAATTACACTAGTAAGCATTAACATTTTAAATTTATCTACAAATTACTCTTCTCTATGCCATTTCTGCCTACATAAACGCAAGTACCAGTGTTTAATACCAAATTCTCATAATTTTCTCTTAAACCTTAAATTACAACAGCCTTACCACTTGTGTGAACTTTTCATAGAACTCAATATGAAACAGAAATTTACTGCACATGCAAGCTTAATACAACACACTATACAAACATTAAGAAATTTTATGTAATAAAAAGTAACCACTGTAATACAAATATAAACCTACACAAGATGTTCAAAATGAGCATTAATGCCAATCCATGAAGTTCCAAAGAGCTTCTCCCTATTCTTTATCTATAGACAATATGCAATAGTCTACACACCACAAACTGTAGAGTTCTTAACCAAATTCACCATTGAAATCTTAGTTTCTTTGCTGATCTACACAATTATACCTGCCACTTTGAGCTAATTGCTGGTGTGTTACCTATGCTGTCAGGAACGTAGTTTCCCTGGGATATGAAAAACCACTCAGAGTCACTCAGTACCTGACTGCAGAAGAAACAGCGTAATGAAAGATTTGTTAATGAGTCACTATTAAACCACTAACAACACTACCATCTGTATTTCAAAGGAAACATTTCTTATAATTAAACTATTTTCTAATACAAAAGACCATCAATGTAATCTCCTTACACTAATCCCAAAGCTTATTATTGCACCAAATATTAAAATTTTAAATAGTGATATAATATTACTCTTGAACACTATCTCGTCTAAAATAAGCTGATCTTTCACTTGACAAAAATCTGCATACAGTGAAATACAGTTTTAAAAATGCATGGCAAACCCCACAGATAATATAAACATTTCACTAAATGAATTCATAGTTTTTAATACATTAAAAAATTTATGGAGTACTGATAATTCCAATTTAATTGGCTTGTATAATCTCTCATTCCGTACTAATGTGAAATTCCAATATTTAAATTCACTGCAATTGCTCATCTCCAGGACTATGGTTACAATAGCATTACATACTTAAGAGAAACATTAGTAACCAACTGTATTATCTTCATTTCACTGTCATACAATGAAGTATCCAGAAAATGCAAAAATATTATAAAAGTTGCATAGACTTTGCAGAAGCAAATAAAAATTCTTTCAATAAAAAGCTAGAATTTGACACGCAACATTTAAAGCGGTTCTTGAATTGTTAAATACATACTTTCTCTTGATAACAAAGGTGCCAATTATAGGTTATGGTAAAATTCACCATCATGGATTAACATAGCTGGTCCATATTGGAAGATAATTCTTTTGCCCCACAACAGAAGCACGAACATGAGCTTTCCGGATTCGTTACTAAAACGCTTCACTAGCTGGTTTTATGACTTCTCTTATTAAACAGGATTTATAAAATTATAAAACTTGTACCCCATTCTTAACATCAAATTCAATAAAAGGCTGCCTCATTATTAGTTATGCAATTACAATGAACTTTTAATTTACTGCAGCAATTCTGTTGGTAACTCAAAAGCAATATTGAACAAAAATAAAACTAAACTTTCAAAATGGTTAGTAATTATAAAAACTAAAGCAGCACTTACAAAATGTGAAAATACTTATAAACAATAAAATAAAAGACCAGCAAAAATATGTAAGCAAGTTTGTTGAATTTAAATATTCTGAAATTTCTTTCAATATCCATAGAGTAGTTCTAAGAGGTAGCTATGACTTGGGTACGCTAGCTTTAGGAGTTTTATACACCCTACAGCTAGGATACCAAAGACAAAGCCAAAATAACCTCTTCTCTGCATTTCCAGGTTCCATAGAATTTCTGAAGATCTGTTCTAAAATCTGCAAGCATAGCCACTACATGAAAATCATTTCCAATTGCAAAGCAATTTTCAGTTTCAGAATACCTGAAACAAAACTGCAAGAACAGATCGTGAACAAGATTATATTTTACGCAACATATATTCAATATAACAATGAAGATTGGCAGCTTCCAAGTAGAAAAGTGTTTTTATACTTAGCCAAACATGAAAAATCCAGTAAACCATTTCAACCTACAAAGAACTATTAAACACTTTTCTTCTCATCAGATTTCAGTGTCCACATATCATTTAATTGAACATAATTATCAGAATATATGCTATAGCAAGTATACATTACCCTTTTCTAGCAGCCACAGCACATTCAAAATAATCATGCCAAATATCAGGTAGCAAGTTCCGCAGCAGCAACACATTGCATCAGTCAGTTTCTGTGGAAGAACACCCACTGTTTACTCGTCAACTGTAACTCCCTCAACAACGCAAGTAAAATATGCTAAGAAATTTTTACTTTTCAGCATAACAAAAAAAACTAACAGCAAGCAGTGGACACCATTCCCAGCGAAATGCCTACTGGTATCCAATTGTTATCTGAGCTATTAACCATGGGCCTTAAATTTACATCTCATGGTTCCAAATATTTACTTCCTGACACGAAGTAGTAAACAGTATTTTCATACATTATTTTGATGACTGAACTGCATTACTCAAATACTGGCTATCCCTCACAAACTTGTGCAAATTTGTTGGCGAACACGTAGAGTCCATACAAAATTCAATTAAGTTAAATAAAAAAGTTCCACAATAAACAAAAAAAAAAACACCGGCAACAAAAAAATTCAGAACGCTTCAAACTTCGTGAGTTAATTAAACTAATATTTCTCACTAAAGCATACTCTGAACAACACAAAAACATTGTGGGGGTGAAAATACAACTGAAGAACGCGTAAAACTACCCCCACACAGCTTTGCAATTTTCAAGTCGAACGGTTACAACGCACGATAACCTGATATCTTCGATGCTCATAGAGAGTAGTAATTAGAAGCTAGGTGAATATTTCAGAAAATACTATTTACATGAAATCGTTAGTTCTACCCAAAGACTTGACCTTAACGTCACGCTTGTACCAATTCACACACAAAGACTTGGCCAAGTCCACGCCACCACGATTTTAACCTTCCGACAAAAATTCAGCTAAGGCAACTAATTACCAAAATCAGGCAGCTTCCGCTCGGTTCCAATAACCGCATTAACTGTTCAGCATGTAGTACAAACAAAGTAAGGCGATTATGAAGTTACAGACATAAACTTGAAACACAAAGATGCATACAACACAGACGCCTCGACTCCATTGCCTAAGCATAAGCGGAGTAACCAGAACACTACCATCGCGACTCAGACTATCTCCAGTCTGAGCGCCTCTGAGCAAATGGTTCGTTCACGAACGGTTCTTTCTATCTCCTTGAAGGAGACGAAGATTTCATATGCTGAACGAGCATAGCACAGAAAAAAATTCACAAATTGAAAATAAGAAATAACACAGCCGTGATGAAATATTATACTCGGAAACAAACTCCGTTGGCCGAATACAACTGTACACCCACAAGGATGTAACAGGTGTTACAGAGGATTCCACCATTGAGAAACAAAGCCAACCATATTTTTCCAATAGAAGGCAGAGCACGAGACATCCAAACATGATACATAGCAAAAACAGAATTTGGTTAAAATCTGTCATACTGTAAATGTCACTTTCATCATTACTTGTATGTTTTTCGATTTTCATAAATAGAAAGTACAGATACAAGCATTGCCCCCACAATACGATGTCAATGCTTTTAGTTGACGAATTTCACAAAGAAACTATAATAAACAAAATTTCGAAATAATGAACGAATCATTACTGACCGGTTCCTTAATAGAACGAAATCTTGAATGAAACCGAAAATGATTCTTGGCGCCAAGAAAATGGCGGTGTCCAAATTATTGAAGTATTCTTAATGGAATTACTTCGTGATAATATTTCATGATGTTTAGCTTAAAAAACACGTAAGAGTTCAATTACTTTAACATTTGGTGAATGTTATCTGAATTCAAACACAGTAAATACATTATTGTTCGGTTGTAAAACGGTGAACGTGTCTTTCCGGTACGTTCGACATTTATGCCGTGACACTCATAAAACAAATCACAAAAGAAACAAGTATGCAAAAGCAGACTGACCGGTGTAGCCGTTATGTTGCTACTGCTTTGTTCTTGCAAGTTTCGAATCAAACACTGCAAACCGTTTCATAGACTGACATTACTTAAAATATATTTCAAAGTAAGAATAAAACACTAATATATCAAAAGCC